CTTACATCTGCCTTGAACACTGCAGCGCCACTCCAAGCAAGCACCTCAAGGAGGACCCGCCCCCAACCATGGCATACTAAATCAACGCGCTACCTGCAAAGATGCTCCCGGTGTGCTGAACGCTCCTGGAGGAAGTCTCGCACCCAGTCAGACTTTCTCCATTATAGATTCATACTGTGTTCATACAGTGCAGCCCTTGCCCTTGCCAAACAGTCCTATTTTTCCTCTCTCATTAGTTCATGTTCCCGCAACCCCAGGCGTCTCTTTGACACCTTTAATTCTCTTCTTCGCCCCGCTGTGGCCACCCCCCAAACCAACCTTACTGCTGATAACTTTGCATGTTACTTCACTGACAAAATTGAACAGCTAAGGAAAGAATTCTCCCCTCCTTGCCTTTCTGTTTCTCAATCACACGTTGATCATGCCTTTCCTACCCTTCAGAAATTTTCCACAGCAACAGACAAAGAGGTGGCTACTCTTCTTTACTCCTCTCGCCCCACCACTTGCCCGCTCGATCCTGTCCCGTCTCACCTTATCAGATCTCTCTCCGCTTGTCTCGTGCCTTCTCTAACACACATCTTCAACTGCTCGCTCTCTTCTGGCATCGTCCCTGCTGACCTTAAACATGCCACTGTAGTACCTATACTAAAAAAAACCATCCCTTGACCCGTCCAACCCCTCTAACTACCGTCCCATATCCCTGCTCCCTTTTTCCTCAAAACTTCTGGAAAGACTCATCTTTACCCGTGTGTCTCATTTCCTCAATTCCAACTCTCTCCTTGACCCCCTTCAATCTGGCTTCCACCCTCTCCACTCTACAGAGACTGCCCTTATCAAAGTTACTAACGACCTAATCACAGCTAAATCCAAAGGCCACTACTCCATACTAATTCTTCTTGACCTCTCGGCGGCCTTTGACACCGTTGATCATGCTCTCCTTCTTCAAACTCTGCAATCGCTTGGTCTCTGTGACTCTGTCCTCTCGTGGTTTTCCTCTTATCTCTCCCAACGCTCATTCAGTGTCTCTTTTTCTAATGATACCTCCTCCCCTCGCCCTGTCTCGGTTGGAGTCCCCCAAGGCTCCGTCCTTGGTCCCCTTCTATTTTCTCTTTACACTGCCTCTCTTGGCAAACTTATTACCTCATTTGGTTTCCACTACCACCTGTACGCTGATGACACCCAGCTATATCTCTCCTCCCCGGACCTCTCCCCTGCTGTCCTGCAACGTGTCACTGCTTGCCTTTCTTCCATCTCTGACTGGATGTCCTCCCGCTTTCTGAAACTCAATCTCTCAAAAACTGAGCTCCTTGTCTTTCCTCCTCCTAATACTGATCCTCCTCTTTCGCTCTCCCTTCAAGTTTGTGGTACCAACATCAGCCCATCCTTGCAAGCGCGCTGTCTTGGCGTCATACTTGACTCTGGTCTCACCTTTGAGCCTCACATCCAGCATGTTGCCAAATCCTGTAGATTCCATCTTAAAAACATAGCCCGCATCCGCCCCTTTCTTGCACCAGATACTACCAAGGAGCTTGTCCATGCTCTAATAATTTCACGCATGGATTATTGTAACCCTCTCCTGCTTGGTCTTCCCAAAAGCCGTACTGCACCCCTACAGTCTGTAATGAATGCTGCTGCTAGACTGATTTTCCTCTCTAGTCGGTTCTCTCACACCTCACCCCTCTGCCAGTCCTTACATTGGCTTCCTGTGTGCTATAGGAGTCAATTCAAGGCACTAACTCACACCTATAAAGCACTGAACAACTCTAGCCCCTCTTATATCTCCTCACTGATCCACAGGTATGTCCCTTCTCGGTCTCTCCGCTCTGCCCGTGACCACCTCCTGTCCGTTGTCCGCACCCGTACGGCCAACTCGCGCTTGCAGGACTTCTCGCGGGCGGCTCCCTTCCTATGGAATAGCCTGCCTACCGCCATCCGACTCTCCCCTAGTCTTGCATCTTTTAAGAAGTGCCTTAAAACCCATCTCTTTAGGAAAGCTTATGGCCTCCAAGACTAACCCCTACCTCACATACCCGTCTCTTGCCCTCTCCTAAAGGGCAGCCCACCTTATTTGATTGCACATTCCTGTCCTAATGTGTTTTACACCCCACCTCCTATAGAATGTAAGCTCGATTGAGCAGGGTCCTCTTCAACCTATTGTTCCTGTAAGTTTATTTGTAATTGTCCTATTTATAGTTAAATCCCCTTTCATAATATTGTAAAGTGCTACGGAATCTGTTGGCGCTATATAAATGGCAATAATAATAATAATAATAATAATACCCCAATGACGTAATCGGCCATGCCGCTATTGCGATGGCTGTAAAACCTACGATTTGCGACAGGATGCTGAGCCTAGAAGCCCCACGATACTGCTTGTCTGATTTCAAAGTCAGACAGAAGCAACCTGCGGAACAGGAACAGTTGGGACCCGGGAAGCTGCCCGCGAGATGCAGGTAAGTAAAATAGAGTTTGAGTCAGACCGGAAGTGACGACTACTCTCCACAAATCACCAGACCTAAGACGGTAGTGAGTGAAGGGTTGGTGCTCCTTAAGAAGGGGAACCAAGCCCCTCCCACAACTTCAGGCCCCACCTTCCATATATATATATGTTTTATGATACACTTTTTATGATATATCTTGATGATGTCTTATTAAATATTTTATGCCTGAGCTACATATGCAAAAAAATTTATTTACCACTAACAAATTTTATGTTTTCTGTAAATATGCACCTGCTTAGTCACACTGACATTTCACTAATGCATATTGTATTAACCTGATAGTGCCTTGATTCATTTTTATACTTACTAATTTACCCTTCACCAAAGCTTTGACTTTTTAACATCCACAATATGTTCAGAGATATATTATCTCCAAGCTGCATATTACTATGTCTTTATCTATAAAGTCATTTATATGTGTATAATATAAAAATATTTACATTATTTTTAGATGTTATATTGGATTCTTACATGATGTAACACCATCATTGTATGCTGTACAATTTGCATATGGATTTATAGCTATCTATATATGCATTTAAATCTGTGTAATATACAATATTTTCAGACATTATATATTTTTATATCATGTTTCATCATTATTTTAATCATTGTATGACACACAACATTTTCTTGATATTCTCTGATATACTATATTACAGACACGGCAATGAGATGCTTCACTTTTATTCCCCTCTTTCCACTCCTATTTATACATATATATTCCAATATTAATATTTTTATTTTTTATTCAATTTTTTAATCTTTTGTATCCCTTTTTATAATTTTTTTTTTTTTTTAATCTTTGTTTATCTGGATATCGCATGATATCTATTTTGTAACTATGATTATTTGTTAATACAATTGAGAGTATGCATATTGATTGTATAGAATGCTAAACTCATTTTGAAATGTTGAGCAAGTTCACAGCTGCAAATTATAACTGTAACGCCTTTATAAAAAGCAAGCCATGAGCCAATCTTCACAGAAATCCTGACCACATAAATCAGCTTGAAAACTACTCTAAATCTAAGTCAGAGGATTCTTTGTAACATTCAGTAATTCTTTGTAACATGTGTAATTATGTACTCCTTCTGTATTTCGAAACTGGCAAAACTACAAGCACTAGTTTAATTTAATTTTAGTATATCATTTTATTATATCTTTTCTAATAAAGTATTGTATTTTTAACTATACTGGATCAGTATCTATAGTTTTATGGTTACATACTTTTAAACATTATGAAGTGCTTTTACAAATCTGCATATTGGTGAAAGAATGTGCATAATAGCTGTGAATATATAAGGCTGGATGTAAGGATCACTCTATACAACACACTGCATCAGAGAATACTTAGAATTTATCTTTTTACTAATTTTAATTTTGTATATTTTACTCAAGTTTATTCTTCAAAAAAAATAAAAAATTCTCAAAATCCCCTTTTTTGTAATTTTTTTTTAATTTTTTAAAATGTATTTTTTTTTTTATTCATAAATTTCTTATCATATTATTATATTATTATATTCTATGAGACAGAGTCATCACATGATAGGGAGAGAGTACTTCTAATATTTTATATTCTTAACTATAGGTTGATAGGTTTCCTATTCCTCTCTACACATTTAACTTTACTGCATTTAAGCGGTAAAACTGTCTCTTTATCTCTCTATTTTTGCTCCACTTAACTTCTTACTTTTATATCACTCCAATTTTTAGTTTACTGAATAAACACCTTTATACTAATATATTATAGTTTCAATATATGGACATTATTGGCCAAAATTTTCAATCTGATTATCAATGCACTATATGACACAAACAACACACATTGTATAGCGTTAACAATATACCCAAAACTATTCCCCCTAACTCTACATCTCAATTATAATTTTAATATATTACTTACGCAATACAGATCAATGGCTGGACATCAAATGGACTTTCTATATTATATGTTTGCTTATTCACAGTTAGCACTCCACCTATTACAATGTCTCCATCTTGTAAATACTTAAAATCCTCATAAGATTCCAGCAGGTGAAGGGTACAAGCCAGGGCTGAGCTGTGGGTCTCAGATCTGCAGGGTGTCACACACAGGATTAACATGAGTGCCAGACATTTATATGGAATGGATAAAAGTCTTAGCATTATCCCTCCGTACAGCATGGTGTACACCAGTACAATGATACATATAAGTATGTCACAGAGAGAATACAGCACATCTGAAATATATGTATTGCTCTGATTAAAAGTCATCATCTCGTCTCATTTTATGTAGCATTGGATAATATATTTAAATAAATCCTGCAGTTAATTATAGGTATATATGCTATGGGAGCACTATTTTGGCCAACTTTTAAAATATATGAAATGTAGGCTAGGTTACAAATTACCAACAAACTAAAACATTTTTAAAAAGTGTAGTGTATTTCTATTTGAGTAATTTAGTATAGTAACAATTATTTTTATGGTCTAAAACATGGTTCTCTAAACTCTGGCCCCCCAGATGTTGATGAACTACAACTCCCATGATTCTCTGGCTTTTTATTTAATTTAAAAAAAATAATGGGAGTTGTAGTTCAGCAACATCTGGAGAGTTACAATTTGGAGAAACCTGGTCTAGAGGCTAAATGAAAATGTTTTTAAAATGTCTGGAGGAGGAGGGATGTGTGTCTGGACACCAGTGTGGGAATTTGCATTCTCCGTGAGCATCATTCTCCAAAACCGATTGTAAAAACCCATAACCACCCTGATTTCAGCCCCTAGAGATGGCACTCTTTGGAATACCAGTGCAATCTGCAAGAGGAAGCTTGCAGTGGATACCACCTGAACCATACAAAAACAAAAAAAAATTCCCCTGGCTCCCTGTTCCCCCTTCCCTCCATGTGTCCTAGCTAAGCGCCCCACTCTACCAGGTCCGCTAACCATTATAGAGCGCTGGAGTATCTCAACACCGACCTATGATTCCTCTGGAACACCGGCTTGACTGCAATCACCACCCCTGCCCATGATTCCCAGTTTTCACCCCTTTCCCAATGGACCAGAAGAGCACTTTTTGGAGGGGAGCTACAATTCATCAAGAGGAACAATCACTACCTATGAGCCAGAGGGGGGGGGGGGGACCCCTTTGCCTTGACACACCAGAAGCTCTGGAAAATTAGTGGCATATTGCAGCAAATGCCTGGAACTGATTTCGGCTAGAACTTTTGTAGCGGTCGATCAGAACTTTCTACAGGTGGCGATTCCCCAATTCTCCACTGATCCGGGTGCTGTTTTCACAAGATAGGTGCTTGGATCAAACCAATCTGTAGATGTATAATGTGTGGGGGTTTGGGGATGTTTCAGTAACTTTTTTGGAGTTTTTCTGTATTGAACTCTCTGTGTCTGGGAGGTGATTAGTTATGCATGAGCTAACTCAATTATGTCCAGACACAGAGACACCAGCGAGTCATCAGCAAAGTATTGAATGGAGACACAATGCTGGGGTTCTGTGTAAATTGCTTATTCTTCCTAGCATTATTTGTTGCATTATTTGTTGTCTAATGACTGGGGAAAGGGGCTATAAACATTGAAAAGCTCTTCTTCCAACTGATATATTCAGCCGTTATATAGGAGCTCCGCTACAAAGTTTAAGTCATTTTCAATCACCAAGATGTCTACTGATGCCCTTGTGATTTCTTTCTAGCCTCAAGGTATTCTTTGAAGACCTAAGATCTTCTAATCCCTCGTTCCCTGTGTACCCAACTATAAAGGATAGGATCCTTAATGAATGGGCAAGACCAGAGAACAAAATTAACACTCAAAAACAAGAATCCTAGAATATATCCCTTTAGGATAGCAAGACTTGGACTGCGATTCCAAAAAATTGATGACACAGTCATTAAAATAGCCAACCTGACCACACTTCCCATTGACTCTATCCTGTATTTAAGAGAACCTATGGAGAAAAGACTAAATGCTAACTTGATCAAAACTTATTTGGCTCAGCTTTACTCAGCTTTACACCCAGCCATAGACCGTATTGCCTTATCCAGCGCTATGAAAGTGTGGATAAACAACCTGGAAGAAGATATCCAACGGGGAGTAAGAAGAGAATAACTTTTTGATAACCTTAGGGATTTCAGACTTGCAGCAGACTTCAGTTTTGAAGCATCCCTGGATATCTCCAAAATGATCGCCAAAAGCTTGGCTTTATCTGTCTCAGCCAGATTGGCTGTGTGGTTGCATTCCTGGGGAGCTGACTACTCTTCAGAATCCTCCCTTTGTTCTCTTCCTCTCCAGGGTGATCTCCTCTTTGGAAAAATCCTTGATGAGGCTATTCATAAAGCAGCAGACAGTAAAAAAAACCTTTCTACCTCAAGGGAAGAGAACCCCATATACAGCTTCATGGAGAGACAAGAGGTTTTGAGACAGTAGATCTTACTGACCAGGGAAGGAATACATCAGAAATACCTCTTGGAGAAACTATCAGCCCGCTTCACATTCAGCAAAAGGCAATAAAGGAAGGGGATCCCGAGTTCCTTCGAAAAACTTCTGAAGGTTTACAGGCCCATACAGGCTACTTAGGAGGAACACTTCTGAAGAAGCCTGTGATATGCAAAACGCGTCAAGTGGGACTTTTAAATAGCCACCTTATTTTGTTTTATCATTTTGTTAAATAGATAGTGTATTTTTTTCAATATAATTTTCATTCAGTTTCATCATTTTCAAGGGTTCTAACAGAGGTGCAGTACAGACATAGATAAAACATGAATTTGGAGGTTTGGTTAGGAACGTGTACAGCAAGGTAACATGGATCATTGTACAGAAATAGATACAGAAATATTACTCATGAATTACACCTTAACAATTATCTTACCTGTGATATCTTATTCAGTAGTGTCGCTTTTGGCGTTGGGTGGTGGCATGTGTTCTTGTGTTCTTCTTTACATCATGCTCAGAGTTGTAAGGGGCTAGTATATAGTGTTTTAGTTGTTGCTCTATCTGGTTTTCTGTTGGGCTCTGTTAGGACATGTTGTGGACTTCCAATAGAAAGCTAATAAGTTATGGGCTGCTAAAATGATGATGGCACTTAATTGTTTGTGTGAATGTTCGAATGTTGACGGGAACCGCATAAGTAAATATGTTTCAAGTGTATTCTGTGCATCTGAAAGTTTGAGGGTGCAAAATGTGTACTTCTCTCCATAGTGGTTGAATGTTGGGGCATGTCCACCAAGTATGTAGGAGTGTACCCTCCGCTGTGTTGCATCTCCAGCAGAGCGGTGTCATATTAGGGTATATTTTATTGAGTTTGTGTGGAGTTAGGTACCATCTGTATAGTAGTTTTCTGTGTGCTTCTATATGCGTATAACGTCTCGTCCACTTAGATAGGTCATTGAGTGCGTGAATCCATTCCTCTTCTGTGTTTTGGGTGTCACAATCTATTTCCCATAGTGTTTTACAATGTGGTGTAGAGTTTGGTATGGTGTCCTTCCATGCTTTGTAGCATAGGGACATGGTTTTTGTTTTGTGGGATTTTTGCAACACCTTTCTGTAACGGTTGCCTCCAGGCTGGCTGGAAGTTGGACCATAGAAAGGATTCTCCTAGTGCTCACCAAAGGACCATCAGCACCGTAGACACCATAACTACTGTGTAGTCACCATAAGTACTGCAGACTCCACGAACCGCCGCTGCTGGGCTAGGATCTCGCTGTCTGCTATCCACCCTGGACCTACGACCAGGCTCCAGGTTCCAGTAGGTGAACCCCTTCCTTCTGTAGAGCGAAGCAGGATCAGGAACAAGAGCTCTTACAAGAACTCAGTACCTAAGGAAGTATGAAGAGCATAGCAATCCCTGTAGTGATTATAGCTGTCCCCTACAAACATGAGTCAAGACTGCAAGTTAGAGGGTCAAGTCATTCTGTTTATTGGCACCAAAAGAACCTTCTTTTATGCAGGTTTCCCTTAGATAGGACCAACCACAGGGTTTTACACAACAATCAATCATACACGTATATTACAGAAACACTCACTACAATTACATACAAAATCCTCCCCTCTGCCTGTGATATAATTATGTTACACAATGGTTTAACATAATTAACACAGGCAGGAAAAATACAGTTTTTAATACATATCCTGTAATTTTAAAACCACACATCCAATCTTCATAAAAATTACATATTTAGCAACCTTCAAATATAAACATAACCAAAAATCTGCCAAATCCATCCAGGGGTTAAAAAGTTAGCTGGAGGTCCCTTTATGACCGACCGCAAGCACATTTTCCTGCCCAAAACAGTTCCATAGATTTGGGCTGTTCGGTCGGTCTATTTCAGGCTGAAAAAATGACTAAGTCCCATCGCCGAATGCGATGCTGCAAAATCATTGTGGGAGAAGGTAGGGCTCAGCGGTGTTCGCGGAAATGTGTAGCCGATTTTAGTTCCATGAGTTTGGCTACACATACTACTGACCTTGTGCGAATGAACAAAGATGGCCGCCGCCACCACGTGTTCGGCAAAGAACAAAGGCCACCCAGCATTGTCAAATAAGCTGCGGTTAACCGCAGCTTCTGGGAGGTAAATTGCCGACACACTCCCAATACAGGTGGTCCGTCTGTGTGGTACTTGGTTCAGTAAGCCCCATTTACTGAACCAAGTGGGAAATAGCTAGGCACAAAGGGTTTTAACTAGGTCTGGGGACACAGGGGACACCATCTTAAAGGGGCAGTGTCCCAATTTTCCCTATGCCCCAAAAAGGTGCTTAAAGGGCCAGCACCAGTCCCATAAAACGTACATAAGCCCCAATATGCCCACCGACTGTCTTAAAGGGCCATACACACCCAATAAAAGTCCATAAGTTTTCACAATCTCCCAGGGGCCATAGTCATGTAGAAGGAGGCTGGCAAATAGACTTCTCCACAACCCAGGGAAGCAGGGCAATTTGCCATTTAAAGGGCCAGTTACAAATAGCAGTTTGTAACACTTTCTATTATCACCTTCGCTGGCGGGGATGTTTGGTTAGGGTGTAATTGTTGGCTGTGTGTGTGTATAGTTATGATTCCTTTACATTGTAAGTATGTGAAAATAGCGCCGGTGGGTAGTTCCCATCTTTGTTATATATCAGGGAACGTCATCAGTTCCTTTGGTTGGAGTAGTTGGTGGATGTGTGTGATTCCTGCTTGTGTCCACTTCTGTATGCGTATGTCTGATGAGATAGCCCTTAAGGCCGTTAATGGTGCTCTAATATGGAATGTGTTTTTAGCTTCCTGGGTCTCCAAATAAGCTGTCCAGAATTGAATAGTAAGTTTCGTGGTAGGCAGTAGTTCTGGATTAGATGGCCTAAACTTTTTTGGTGTACATAGATAGTCTAGTCCCGTGTTTTTGCTAAATTGAGCTCTCTACATATGGACCCATTGGATGGTCCCCTCTGTGGTGTGCAACAATATCCCTGTCATTAAACAAATTAGGAATGTAGCGCTTATAAATAAAATAATAAATTAATCACCTTTGCAATTTTGGGGTAAAATGTCACTAGAAATCAGCAAGGAAAATTATAAGCGAAGAGCTATCGACTTAGCTCTAGTTTTAATAGCTTCTGGGTCTATACAGGTGACCC